AGACCGAAATCGAAAAAGCCAGCAAGGATTTACATATTACTTCGACATCATTCTACAGACGGCAGTAGACCAAACGCAGATGATAAGAATAATGATAAGTTCTATGGATGACACCATGAAAAGCCAGCTTTTCAAAGACAAACAAAAAGCCAACAGCCCATCACCATAACCAACCTTAGGGTTGTTCAGAGTGGCATGGTGTTTATGCACCAGAACAGCATTGTTAAGGATGTCTCCACGATGGCCATTTCATTTAAATATGTACCACCAGCAGCACCATCCCTTACATCTGTAGCAGATGTTTTAAAAACTAAGAGGCAAGGGGATATGGTCACAATCTCAGGCTTAATTCGATGGGACAGTGAAGCTTCAACACCACAAAACTCTAAACGACCAGTAAGAGATGGTAAATTAGTAGACTCAACAGGAACTATAGATATTTCGATTTGGTCAGACCACACTGCTCTGATCAAGGAAGGGGATTTCTTTGAGATCTCCAACTGCAATGTAAAGCACTATTATGGGTTGAAAATCAGTACCACTACAGAAACCATCATAAAGCCAGCCGAGAAGCAAAATATTACCAACGTAAATACAGATGCAACTGCTATCAAGCCTCAAATCTGCTGCCCAGAAATACAAAATGTGATTATTGACACTAATGCAATGTGCAACACCAAAGGATGTAAAAGCAAAATCACAGGAAACACAGAATCTAAAGTTATGGTTAGTTGCACAGCCTGCAACAGAGCAATGCTCGTTAAAAACTGTTACGTTGACATGTGCACAACCTTTCAACTGGAAAAGGAAGAGAAGCAATTCAACGTTGTGGCAAACTATGCCACACTCAGCGTCTACCTAAACGAGGACATTTTCCAATACCGAAAAAACATAGATGAACTAACAGAAAAACTTCTGTTGCTGGAAAATGTTGACTTCACATTGTCAAAAAACGGTAAATTTATTACCGAGATAGTAAATCACCAACTGCAGCCACCAACGCAAGAAAAACAAAAAAATGAGTAATAAAACCAAACATTGTTTCACGTTGGTGACCATCATATTTGGACACTGTACCATCTTGACATTTAAGGATAACTTCAAAAGTTCAAACAAAAATACTTTATTTTTAATTATTTTTTATATCAATGTTGTTCCACTTTGAAATTTTATTCATACAACTTTACTTAATATCAGAGTTAAAAACACAATCGTCACTTAAAATAGATTTTGAAAAATATATTGTATATATAGTTTCGTTCCAATTTCATACTTTTCTCTTTTTTCCACTTTTTATAAGCCAAATATATTGTACATACAGGTAGTTCCATTAATTTTTTTCCATTTTGATACCACATCACAATAGTTATATTGACAAAAAGCTCTAATCAATCAAAAAAGATCAATTATTATAAAAATATAATGTTGGATCCAGTTATAATTCATCCACTTATCGTTTTTAAAGTTTATTATAATAGAACGTTCTATTCAACAGACCAATTTTTCAATGCCTTTCAAACAAATTCTATTTAAAATTGCCCTCTTAAGGTATAATTTTGTGTCTAATACCTGGTCTATTATGTGCAAAATGTCAGGTTTAAATATAATAATAAATTGTTCTTCAATGCTGTCTATAAATTGTTCTACAATGCCATCTATAACATTCCAATGTTAAAACTCACCCAAGTCCCTACATTCTGCTTCTTCTTGATCATGAAGAACAAACAAATCCTAAGTTAAACCACACAGCAAAAAAACAACATCCCAAGCACTTCCCAAAACTACATTTTGTACACTAGTAGTATTTTGAGATCCAAAATTACTAAAACCAAAGTACTGAGCCGCAATTCCGTAACAACATAACAGAAAAATTACACAACTGTACACAACAAGCCCAACTCAAAAAAAAAAAAACAAAAGAAAATGGTACTGTAGGGCGGGGGCAGCTCTAGTGAGAACTATAACTAGTTTTAAATATAGCTATTTTAACAGGATTGTAGACATATGGAATTCCCTGCCATAATAAGTTCGTCAGGTACTTTGTATTAGCATTTTTAAGTGGAGTGATACTTAGCTTTCTACTGGGATTTTGGCGATGGTGTTGCGAAGTATTTTCTGTTCAGTTTTACCTTTCGGGTTGTCATCCGCACCGTATTTGTTCACCAAATTATCAAAACCTATTCTTACTTCAAGGAGGTGCAAAGGAATTCCCATGGCTATTGACGGCTTAGGGGGTGGTACCAATTCTATCATGGCCAAAATCAACAGTTTGACAGTTCGCGCCGATTTGACTAGGTACGGCTTTGTTATCAACGAAGAGAAGTCCCTTTGGAAGCCTGTTCAAGTTATTACCTGCCTCGGAACTGTTTTTGATACTTATCAAGGTCTTATTTCGGTTACCGAGCGAAGGGTTTCAAAGCTCAAGAGTAGCATTGATCTCTTACGTAAGGATAACTGTAAAATTTTAAAAGTTAGAGATGTAGCATCTGTGGTGAGCCAAGTCATCTTGCTCACTCCTTGTGTTGGAAGCGTAGCCAAAATCATGACACGTGCTCTGTACACCGTTGTAAATCAGAAACAGTCATGGGACTCTCAGGTTGAGTTGTCGAAAGAAGCTTTTGATGAATTGACGTTTTGGATAGACAACGTCGATTCTCTTAATTTTCGTTGCCTTTCCAACCGCCTGCTAGATTTGTCTATCCTGACGCATCAGATTACGCTTGTAGTTCTTTTACTGAAAGAGTAGTACCTCGTGCGTTGTTGCTAGAGAAGGAGTTAATGCGAGAGAGTTATCTGCGAAGTTAATTACTGCGTTCATTTGCGACTTCTTTTCAGGCGTAAAGAGAGGACAATCGGTAAGCGTGTTTTTCTCTCCCCTTGTTGTTTTCGTTTTATTATTTGATCGATTATTGTTAGGCTTTTGTGCGTTCGTCTTTTCTTGTGTTGTTATTTAATAATCATTTTTATTAGCTTACCTCCGTGTAATATCGCTTAGATTCGGTTTTTTGGCTTGTATTTTAGTTTGACGTGTTTGACATCAGATTATTACTCTGCAATAAATCGCATTGGAATCACGGTTATACGTGTCTGGTGTCAAATTTTTGTGCATCGACGTCCTTGGGACAACTTTGAATTGCGATATCCCTACGCTGTAAACGCCTACATTTATAAGGCTGTAGGAACTTTAGTTATTCCTATGTGGAAGTCTTCCTGTTTTTGGATTTTACGATGTGACGATGGAAAGCACTGGAACGCGTTTGTACACGATTGGGTGATTCTTCCCAAGTTCGAGCATCTTTTTATTAGAGGTAAAGCCAAGAATCACGTTTTTGGCTCGAAGGATTTGTCCTTTAGTGTAGTAGCTCTGCATCTAAATTTTGTGCAACCTTGGGCACAGTCTGTTTTGGATTTTTGTACAACCGAAGAAGACAATTGCGCCCTTTGCAATAGATTTTATAATTAGGGTCTTTGGTACCCACCTCTGGAGAAGTCTTTGGGTACTTCCTTTATTAGGAGCGTCGTTTTTGAGCTGGTTCATGCGTTTGCCCGCTCTCGTGACTGGAGTTTTCCTTTATTTATGATATTATTACTGGTTTGTCAGCTACCTTTTGATTCATCATTTTCAAGTGGTGGATTTTATTTTTCTTGATTTGCATTTCTTATGCACACTTCAATGAGCCTGTTTAAGAATGCCTTCAGCAGAGGTGTTATAAAATTGAAATGACTCCACTGTTGCCCATGCATTGTTGTAGTTTATTTTTTCTTTCTATTGTCTGTGATTACTTTCCCCTTTTGTTTACAGATATTTTTAAGGAAGGTATTTAGAAAGAGACTGAAACTTTTAAGGACCCCCATCTATAGAGCCTCACTTGAAGGCTTCAGATGTCTGTTTTATCAGCAAGGGCTCCGGCCACCACAAACATGTATCATCGGGCATCCAAGAAATGGATGGACTTTGCTTAAAGCAAATTGAACAGTTATTTTCTTCCAGTAAAACCTGTTCATGTAGCTATTTATTTACAGCATGTATTAGAATCCACCAACTCCTCTAGCTCCGTCGATACTGCATTCTACGCTATTACGTGGGCCCACGAGATCACTGGCATGGCGTCTCCTACTGATAATCAGGTGGTTTCTAGAGTTCGGGAAGCTGCTAAAAGAATTTTAGGGGTTGGGAGACTCAATAGGAAAGAGCCTTTATCAGTTGAAGTCCTCAAAGATATTGTGGAAGGAGCTGATTTGTCCAATGTTCTGCAGCTTAGAAACGCGTGTTTGTACGTGTTATCCTATGCGGGTTTTTTCAGATCTGAGGAGGTTCTTAATATTAGAACTTGTCAAGAGCTGGCTGAATACTCATCGAGCACCAAACAAGCAGTGTGCAATGGAAACAACTTCCATCACTGTTTCCACGACTATATTTCAACCACGTCATGCAATTTTGACTCGGGCGGTATTTCCAGGGATGGATCAAGAGATAAAGGTATTCAGTTTTGTTCCAATTCTACTAACAGTGGTGTTCAAGCTACAGTTGAAATGAAAGATTTTGGAGTTCAAGTGAGTCTTCCTCTGCTCACAGCAAAGGACCTGAAAGGAGATGACCTGAAAACCAGATTTTACACCGGATTTGTCAATTTTGGGACTTTCATGGTAATTTTTAACAGCTTATCACTAATAATTGGAAAGCTAAATTACTGGAATGGAAAGGATTCACTAAAGGAAAAGGAATATTTGGAAAATGATGTTAAACAAAAGCCAGGCCCTCAAAGGAAAATGAGACGTTTGGATGAGTTTTTGTTGGTCTTCATGAGGCTACGTCTTGGACTTCTGGAGCAGGATCTAGCACAGAGGTTTTGTGTTTCAGTCAGTACTGTTTCACGAGTTCTAATTACTTGGTACAATGTGCTTGCTGCAAATCTGAAAAATTTAATTGTGTGGCCTAGCAAAGAAGTTATTGCAACCAATACGCCAGATGGTTTCAAGAAATTTCCCAATACACGGATAATACTAGACTGTACTGAATTTTTCATAGAGATACCTTCATCCCTAGTTAACCAGACATTAACATACTCTAGTTATAAGTCACACAATACATTTAAGCTTCTAGTGGGTATCAGCCCTACAGGAGTAGTCACGTTCTTATCAAAGTTATGGGGGGGTAATGCTTCTGATATGCAGATTGTTAAGGAAAGTGGTCTGCTTGACCTCCTTGAAAAAGGAGACAGTGTAATGGCTGATAAGGGGTTTCTAATTCAAGACCTACTAGATCCACTAGGTGT